ATAGTTCATTTGCAAAAAAGCACAATGTGAATGCAAACCGCACCAAACGAAAAAAAAAAGTCCATTTTTGGTCCGGACCAAACTATTGGACCAAAGGACTTTCCTGGTCTGAATACACCCTTAGATTATTCTTTTTATGTACAGTGCCCTGAGACAACGTATGTTGTGACTTGGCTCTACATAAATAAACTTGAACTTGAACATAGCTGCAGTTAATTTTGTTGGAAAAATCAAATGGAAAATAACCAAAATCGTGAACTCAAAATCAATAATAGAATCTGGACTTAAATGAATCATTGCATCCCTACAAAATGACGAAACCTCTGAATTCCTTTACTTTGACAAATATTATTAAACTGTTGGACTATTTGCTCACAGTTGCTCACAAAGTGGTGAACCTCACCCCATCCTTGCTTGTGAACAGCTGAGCCTTTCAGGGATGCTCCCTTTATACTCAATCAGGACACTCACCTGTTTCCAATTAACCTGTTAAATGATAAAGTTTGTTGATTTKAACATTAAATATCTTGTCTTTATTAGGGTTGTGCATAATCGTATCGTGTGTGATTAATCGTCAGAAAAACATTAATCGATTAATTTTTGGCACTTGACAATTAATACGATTAATGCCAACAGGTAGAATCCGCTCGCTGCTCCTCTCAGCTTCAAATATGATGAACATTAAAAAAAAGTTCTGTAACGTATTTATCCATCAACACAATTTAAAAATTGTTGTATTGCCTGAAGTCTGTAATTTTGACACAGTTTGGAACAGATTTTTATGAAGAGCAAATCGTTCCTACTAAATTGGTCATGTGACTATGAAATAAGGGTGTCCATGGACTCCAGGGGATTAATCGTCAAATTAATCGTCATCGGCTAAATACCACAATTAATCRTGATTAATTTTTTGCCAATATTGCCCAACCCTAGGCTTTATACAATAGAATAAAATAGAATATAGGGCTGCAACAACGAATAGATAAAAATCAATTATTAAAAGCGTTGGCAACAAATTTCATTATCGATTCGTTGTCGCGCGATTTATGCTTCCCTCGCCATGTCGCCGAGCTGTTTACGTCACCCGCAGAGCATTGTCAATGCTGGCTGATCTAAATAAAGTTTAGGAAGAAAAAAAAACTACCTGTAAAGATCCGCCCTCTCTGAGACTCTCGAATGAAAAGTAGAGACTTTGAACTTTAAACCAGTTTTTAAATTGTGTTGTCAGGCTAAGTAGATCTGAAGTTATGATAAAAAGGATATACCACATTTAATTTTTTTAAATGACGGTCTGATTTGATGCGAGCCGCGTTGCGAGGAACAAGCATGTCCTGTGGGGGAAAATAAAACAAACAAACAAAGAAACAAAAAAAAAAAAAAAAACCTCAGTCCACCATTTGTTTCCTCCTTCTCTCGGGCCAAAAATATAAAAACCCTCCAGTCTTTTTTTTCTGACCGAGAATCAAAGTTATTTGTTAAGCAGCAAAAAGG